GAAACGACTAACACTTGATTTTGCAGCACTACAAATTCAAGTCTGGCGAACTAAAACTCTATTGTATCTCTCTCTTTTTTTTCCTTCCTAAAAATAAATGCAGAAACAAATGCAATAGCACGGGAAGAGCAGAAGAAGAATAACGTAATTCTGAGGGAAAAATTGAATGAATTGAATTGCTGAAGCATGCTTTATACAGGCAGAATGGTGGCTGTTCGAACAGGTGCCAACAAATAAGCAACTGTTCGGACAGATTCAAACCAGAAAAAACCTGTTTGAACTGTTTGGACAAATACAAATTTGTCCGAGAAAGAATTCAATAGGTTTGAACCTGTTCGGAATCTGAAACTGTTAGGGACCTATTTGGGTTAAGAAAAAATTCTGGACCAATTTATTTTGAATTTTGAAACCAAAATAAAAAATAAAAATAAATAAATTACAAAAGTTTTTGGCCCAAAAGGTAGGTATTGTGCCGGACAAGCCCAACCCAACCTTACACAAGCGTGCAGCCCAGACGGATGCACGGACGGTGGCGGTGTGTGCGCGTGTGGTTATTGTTTTGGATCCAATGGGTTTAGCCCACTTTACCCATAACCTCACCCTTCCACAAGCTTGGATACCCCTAAAGGCCCATCCCAAGTATCCCAAGGTAAAGTATATAAACTCATTAAAAACCTTAAGCTTTTTCAATATGGGACAAGCACATTTCACAAATGTGCAGGATTTTTGGATATTTCCATGCACTCGAAAATGCGCGTTGAATTCTCATTCATCCAGAAAATGGTTTTGAGCAACCAAATACACGATTTTATTCACTACATGGCATTAAACATGAACCCAATGAAAAACGTTAAAAATAACACTTGGGTCCCACCTTAATTAATGCTCAAAGTTAGCAAAAAAATAAAGATTTTTCAAAACTTCCAAAGCTATTTTCCAATAATATTTTGTCCAAACCAAACGCATTTATAATTTATATTTTTCTAAAAATAAACAAAAATTAATTTATAAAATTTTTATAAACATAAACAAAAAAAATATATATATGTATAAACATTACCAAATGCTCCTCACTATTCACATGTCACTACAAAATTTTAAAAAATAATAACAAAAGAAATTTCTACCTACAAAAGAACTCTGCTCCCTTCTAACAAACAAGAACTCTGCTCTCCCTCCCTAGAAACTATCGATCAACAGCCAAAGGGGATTCGGATTCTCTCACAATCTGGGTTCCAATCTGGCTTTCAGACCTCAGATTATTCAAATCAATTGCAAATCAGAGTTCTCACAAGTGGATTCGGATTCTCTCATGATCTGGTTTCACATAATCTGATTCGATATCAGGTTTGTTGTTAATTTATTCAAAATTTTATTGTTGTTCTTGTTGAATTTTTATCTATAATTTTGTTGTTGGTGTTCTTGTTGCTGATGCTATGATCAATATGGATTTATTTTATTTTATTTTTTGTTTAATTAATTTTGTTGATATTGTTTACAAATCAATCCATTTGGGTTTTGCTGGGAGAGTTCATTGCAGTTGGGATGATGATGGCACAAGCTTTGGCATTGCTATTGAGAGGGTAATTTTTGGGAAAAATTGGGCCGAGCTGCGAGTTGGGCTTTGAGGCCCAAAGTGCGAAGGACTAAGTAAAAAGGCCGTAATGGTTACTCCGGCCCAGGTGAGCAAGGTTACTCCGGCCTAGGAGAAACAAAGTTACTCCGGCCCAGGGAGGTAAAATTACTTCGGCTCAGGAATTATAAAGTTACTTCGGTTAAAAGATTGTAAATGTACTTCGGGTCCGGGAGCAACTTGGAGTTAGACCGGCCTTGAAGTTATGTCGGCCTTAGAGGTGTACCGGTCAGGGAGTTATACCGGTCGAGAGTCGTTGGTTCGGTCCAAACACACCATGGGTTGAACAGATGAGAAACCGATATAAGGAAGAGTAAAGGGAAGGGCTGAACTAAGGATAGTTCGGCCTACTTTACCTCGGTCAAATGGTAGTTCGGCCATGGAGAAAACCATCCCACTTGGTTTAAGCAGTGG